GGGGGGGGCGATCCAGTACTCGACGGTGCTACGCGACAAACTCCTACCTACCGAGGAGTCAACTGCTCCTTCACATCCCTGCTCTGAAAGCGAGTCTGTCTGGGCCAGTGGGAGGCGACGGGAAGTCCCGTGAGCCGGGCTGAGCGCTCCTTTGGCTCCCACTAGCCCCGGTTGCCCCTCCCTGGGACTCACCGTCTGTCACGCTCCATTTCGAGTCAACTGCTCCTTCACATCCCTGCTCTGAAAGCGAGTCTGTCTGGGCCAGTGGGAGGCGACGGGAAGTCCCGTGAGCCGGGCTGAGCGCTCCTTTGGCTCCCACTAGCCCCGGTTGCCCCTCCCTGGGACTCACCGTCTGTCACGCTCCATTTCTTAAGCTTTCAACCATTTTTGGCTCTTTAACATGTGTTGGGACTGGCCCTGCTCTGGACAGGGGGCTGCACTCGGTGACTCCGGAGGTCTCTGCCGGCCCTGGGACTCTAGGGTTCTGTGATGATTCTACGACTTTACAAATCCTAGAACCCTAGAACTGGAAGGATAAGTCTACACTGCAAAGTTAATTGAAAATCACAGCCGTTATTTCCAATTAACTTTAATAGCACCTATACATGCACACTGCTGTTTAGAAATTAATTTCAAATAGCGGATCACTTAATTCAAATGTGATAAACCTCATTCTACAAGAAGTAATGCCAAATTTGAAATAGGTATTTCGAATGAAGCGCTGTGTAGACACTTAATTCAAAATAGGGGGCCTCCAGACTTTCCCAGTTTCCCCTGGTGGCCACTCTGGGCCAAACCAGGAAAACTCCTCTCCTCTCTCCATGCCCCAAAGCCCTTAAAGGGGTAAACTCTGGCCAGACTGCATGTGCCAGATCCAGGCCTGCCAGCAGTCTCTGTCCCTGACCCAGTGGCCCCACGATGAGCTGGGCAGCCAGTGCCAGCCAGCCGTCCCCCGCCCAGTCCCCCAGCACCCAGGAGACAGCCAGGGGTCATAGATGGCGGGCCGGCCCAGCGCCGGCATCGCAATCGTGTCTCCTGACGCAGGCATGGCAACGTCCAGACGCTTCCCTCAGTGTCGGCCTGCAAGAAATAACTCACGTCACACCCACGCCCTCCTGGGACAGGGTCCAATCCCTCCCCCGGGTGTGGGCTCCACCCCTCTGTGACGAGGGTGTTGGGTTCATCCCACCGGCCGTGTGGGGTGTGAGTGTGGGTCTGTGTCACACTCAGGGGCATCGTGCGCAGGGCTCAGAACCCGATTCCCAGCGGGAACTCGCCCTTGTAGAGCCCGGCCACAGGGCTGGGTTCGCTCCTGGGTGCGTCACTGTCACGACTGTGAGACGCCGGGGTCCCACTGGCCAGTGTGAACAGAGCTCTGGGCGGGAGGTACCGGCCCTGTGGCTGCGGCATCAGCTCGTTGGGGAGCTCAGCCCGGGAAGGGTTAAGGAAGGACGTGTATAGCGCTCACGCTGGGTCCCAGCCAGGGCCAGCCCCAGGTACAGGCCAGGGCACCCCATGGCAGGGGGCGGCCGGGCGGGGGTGGCACCGCGCTCCCGGAGCCCAGAGCACACAAATGGCTTGGGCTGACCCTGCTCTCAGCAAAGATCCCGGCTGCAGCTCTGCACTCTTACAGGGACAGGGCAGCTGGTCCCATGGGTCTCAGCACAAGCCCCCTCCCTCTGCCTCCGCCCTCAGGGGCTTTCAAAGCCCGGCCCTGGCCCCAAGCAGGCTGTTGGTGGCTCGCCAACTACAAAAGCAGCTTCTGCTCTCTTGGAATTCACCCCTCCAGATCAGCTGCTAGAAGTGGCCTCATCCTCCTGGATTGGTTGGCAGGACTGGCGTTCCTGTCCGGCCAGAACTTGCCTCTCCTCGCCCCCTCCCCCAGCCCTCTGGGGCGCCAAGGGGATCCCTCCCCCTCTCATGCTGCCCAGTGCACTGGGGACCAGACTTTCTGTCTCTCCCAGCCACCCCCCACCCGGGGGCTGGAATGGAGGGGCCTGTCCTCCACCCGCTGCCTTAGCACAGCTGCAGCTCTCGTCTCCAGGCTCCCCCAGCCCCCAACGGCCCAGCTGGGGCTGCCTGGAACGGGAGGCTTCTCTGCCGGTGGAGCAGAGCGGCTGCCCGTGGCTGCCAGGCTGGGATGCTACCAGAGGGCAACCAGGACTGAGCCAGCGGCTTTACACAGAGGCGCCCCGCCCCCAATGCAGAGCAGAGGGGGGGTCGT